CAAAACACTGCATAATATGGATGAACTTGGAGGACATTATGCTGAGTGAAATAAGTCAATCACAGAAGGACAAATATAGTATTAGTTCGTTGTTGTGGAGGGTCCAGGAAAGGTTTATATATGGAGGGAAACTTTCTTTGTCGGTTGCCAGGGGTGGGAGGGGAGGGGAGAGGAGGGAACACTGCAGAAAAAAAAATGTGTTGACCCATGGGGGGAAAAACCCTATGGGACACAGTTTTACTCTTAATACACACGGGGTTGCCATGAGTCAGAAGCAACTCCATGGCAACTGTTTTTGTTTGTTTTTATTATCTTATAAAGCTGCTTAATATACCCACTGCAACTGGGCAGCTTACTAGGTGGCCCTTTGGAGGTACATCAGAGAAGCATGTTCACCACTGGAAACTTGAGGGCGGGGTGGCCGAGGGAATCTGGCTTGGTTGAGGTGTGTGATCCAACCACACTCAGAGGCTCCCTGACTGCCTCTACCAGACTTGTGTTTGTCTCGGGGAAAAGTGCTGGCTGAGATCATCATGGAAGAGACCAGCCCTTCTGGGCATTCAGCTGACAGCTGCAGGGAACTATGCATTGTTTCCACCATGACCTAAGCCCTCTCAGGCTGAGCTTGCCACGAGTTACGTGGCTGATTCTAATTGGATCTCCCTCCCTCTCTGAGTGGACTCTGACCTCTTGAATAAGAGTGGTCTCTTCCATCTCATTCAGCTTTTCTTCTTCTTTTTTTTAAATCTTTGTCCTTTCTGGCTCCATAGAATCCAGCCATTTCTTGTCCCAGTGCTGGACAAATTGCAAACGTCCCTTTCATGTGTTTTTTTCCAATGCAGCCTCTAAATGCCCCCATCATTTGCATGGAAAGTCCTACTACAAAGACTTGGAGATAGGACTTGATTCATTTGTAGAAAGAGATGTATCCAACTACCCTTTGCCATTATTTGACATCAAGTTGTTATAAACATACTCTGACACAGGGGAAATACTTGCCAAATATGCTAACTTTGTCTTTACCACACAGTAGTCACCAATAGCAAACACCAACCATTTGCACATTGCCACACTTGTGACCTCTTTTTTTTCCCCCAATGAAGCTACTGCCAAACCTAGCTTAGGTTGTAAGATATGAAAGGGGAGTAGTTGTTAAAACGCCTGTCTTTCATGACAGGGATGTGACTATCTGTTTTGATTTCACTGTTATTTTAGGTGTACATTCTTAGGGTAAGTCTTATCAAATCCTTTCTGGAACAATGATTTTAAAAAAACCCAAACTCACTGCTATCAAGTAGTATACGACTCATAACAACCCCTAAGGCATTTGACTGCTAATCAGAAGGCCTGTGGTTCAAACCCAACAGCCACTCCTCAGAAGGAAGATCGGGTAATCTTCCATCGTGGTATCACCTCAGAAACCCAAGAAAGGGTCTCATGAGTCAGATACGACTCAGCGGCAGTGAGAGGTGGTTTTTTTTTTTTTTTTTTTAATCACTACGCCAGTAGATTGCTCAATCTTCCTTCCAAGGAGTGACTGGTGGGTTTGAACTGCCAACCTTCTGGTTAGCAGTCAAATGCCTTAGGCACCATGCCACCAGAGCTCCTGGAACAATGATAGAAGGGCTAAATGGCAATACACAAATTTCTCTTGCCTAAGTGTCCTCTTTGCTGTGTTTTGCTTTTGCAAACAGGATGTCCCGGGGCCGTATCAACGATGCTTTCCGCCTGGATGACAGCAGCCTGGAGTTTGTGGGGATTCAGCCGACACTGAGACCCCCTTACGAACCACCCGTTGTTATATGGCTGATTATTTTTGGGGTGGTGATGGGAGTGGTAGTGATTGGCATTGTCCTCCTGATTTTCACTGGGATCAGAGATCGAAGGAAGTAAGTGATCTTTCCTAAGCCTTACCTACCTATCTATCTATCCTAAGACAGAAAGGGTCCCTAACTAGACAATTTGCAGTAAGTGGTGGGTTGTGCAGGCTAGTTACTTAGCTGAATGATTCTGCACCTAAATATGCCAACACATCCCCTGGAAATGACCAGATTTCATTCATCCTTTACCTTTGTAGCAAGCCTTCCACACAGGAGATGTCTGGCATGGGGTGCCCTAGTAAACTCCACCCAACCACAGCATCATTTCCCTGGTGCAATGGCAGGAGCCATTGCAGACTCACTACAAGATTTTTTCCTGATCAAAGTCATTTCCTTTCACTGGGCTTATGAAATAAAGGTTCATATTCTTTTATAAAGGAGCCCTGGTGGTACAAATGTTAAGCATTCGGCTGCTAACCCAAAGGTTGGTGGTTCAAACCCACCCAGCTGCTCCATGGGAGGAAGACCTGGCAATCTCCTTCCATAAAGATTACAGCCCAGGAAATCCTATGAGGCAGTCCTACTCTGCCATAAGGCATTGGTGTGAGTCGAAATCAACTTGATGGCACCTAGCAACAGCAACTCTTTTATACCACCTAATGGTTAAGGCATTTGGCTGCTAACCGAAAGGTTGGCAGTTTGAACCCACCAGCTGCTCCACAGGAGGAAGATGAGGCAATCTACTTCCATAAAGATCTACAGCCTTGGAAATCCTATGGGGCGATTCTACTCTGTCCTATAGGATCTCTATAAGTCATAATTGACTTGGTGGGTTTGGTTTTGATTTTTGGGAACAAAACTCTATTCCCACTGCAGGCTGTTTAAACATTTTCTTGATTGAATCTCTACATGCAGTACTCGATTTTGTTTTGTTCACATTCTTTGCTATAGATTTCTTTTGTTGTTATTCCCATGAATAGCTTCATTGAAAAAAAAATTACACATTGAATAGGTAATACATTCATATGATTAAAATCTTTTAAAGCATAAAGGGTCTCCCTCACACCCTTTGTCTCCAAGTTCACTTCCCAATGCCAATCAAAATTATCAATTTCACACAGCTAGTCAGTAACGGATTGGGATGTGCACCCCAGTTTCCAAAGCTGGTTGATCCATGTAGCTTTCTTGCCCCAATCTTTACCCTTTGGAAATTGATAAGTTATTAGAGGAGTTCTTTAAAATGAGGAGGCAATTGGCTAAATGACCACTGAAGTTCCTAAAAATAATACTGGCAAATATTTATTGAGGATTGTATGCCAGATGGAGTCCCTGTGTGGCACAAATGATTATGCATGCAGCTACTAACCGAAAGGTTGGTTGTTTGAACACACCCAGAGGCACCTCAGAAGACAGTCCTGGTGGTCTGCTTCTGAAAGGTCCCAGCCTTGAAAACCCTCTAGTGTGGTTCTACTCTGACACACACGGGGTTGCCATGAGTCAGAATTTACCCAACAGTGACCAGTTGATTGGCATGAGCCGGGTACCATGGGTACTCTCCCAGCATGGCTGCATTGCTTGCATACAATTGCCATCATTTTCTGAAGCGTCAAACTGAGGCCTTGAGTCTCCTTTCTCTGACTCCAGAGCCCACACTCCTACCCGGCCTCCTACGCTCTACCAGCCATGATGCCAACCACTCACAGGGGCTAAGGAAATGCATCCAATGCCATCCTTGCACTCCAGAAGTTTACAGTTTAATAAGAGAAGACTGGCAGGCAAATGAGTACCCAGTGATCAGCCACTGAGAAGGAAACAAATCCTGGGGTCAAGAGAGTCGAAGGGAGGCAGCAGTAACAATACTTTGTTAAGGTGACTTCGCTTTACTTAACAGGAAAGCTGAAGCAAGTGGTGAAGAAAATCCTTATGCCTCCGTGGATTTGAGTAAAGGAGAGAATAACCCAGGATTCCAAAGCACTGATGACGTCCAGACCTCCTTTTAGCAAACCTATCTAACTTCTTCCTGAGGTGTTTCTATAGGATGTCGATGCTAATTTCAAGGTACAGAAAATTGGAGATTATGAAGACGTCATTCACTGTCAAAACACTGGCTCTGTTCAGGGCGCGTCATCCAAAGACAGGGATCATGGAGAGGGCACCCCCATGTCCACTGCTGTCAGTATTTATTTCTGCCCCAGGAGCTGACTTCCCCTGTGTTTCCTAAAAGGGATGTTGCTATCACAGAATAAGAGAGACAGGCTCCCTGGGCTAGTGGGGAAATGTAACCATGTTGAGTTGTTGCAATTGAATAAAAGGCTATATTTTGGGAGCAAGTGTTGGGCCCTGTGTGGAACATGGAATGGTGCACTTGTGAGGACCATGCCAGTAACCTGGGGCTGCAGGAATTGAGAAGTGTTCCTTTTAATTTATCCCATGTGTAAAGAATGACACACTTTCTTTGTGTGAACTTAATCCAAGTACTAGAGTAATTCCCCACAATGACATCCAGACTGAACCCTGCCTTCTTCTGAAGGGTGACAAGTCTAAAGCAGACAGAAGACATTGGAGAGGAGTTGGTGGGCATCACCTTTTCACTTCCAAGCTACTTGACTTCTCCCTCCTGACAACACAAAGCTAGCACCAAGGGCCTCCTTGAATGCCTTCCCCACCCCATCCCACCTCATCTCATCCCACCCCCAGAGCACATCAGCTAGCAAACTCGCCTCCGTTGTTTGCGAGCTGTCAATCCCAACTGAAGTGGGCCCTTGATCTCTTCAATCTTGTGTAGTCGCCCAGTGTTTGAGTGGTGGTGAACACAGAATAGACACAGTAAACATTTGTCAGATGCATGCACTCCTTTACCCTCATAGGTACATGCATACTGGGGCTTCTGTGGAGCCTGTCCACATCTCACTTCCATAGACAGAGTCTTCGTCTGATTGCCGGAACCCTTGACCTCCGAAAGGTCTTGGATGTAGCTCAGCTTCTCTCCTTGCTTTAGTGTACATAACAATGACAAAATCAATCCAACAAAGAGTTCTTTGAAGACCTGAGCCGATTCGTGAGAAAGCTAGACATGTGTGTTTTTGTCCCTAGTGCCCTGATGGTTACGTGCTCATAGAACCTCATGCAGAAGAGTTCATTTAAACTTCATAACACCTTGTGAGGCACACAGTATCTTTTTCCACACTTTACAGGTGGGACCAATGAGGCAGAAAGTTTAACTCATTCAAGGTTATGCAGCAACAACATGGTAAAGCTGAAATTTGAACCCAAGTAGTTGGATGCCGGAATCCCTGGGTGGTGCAGATGGTTAACGTGCTCAGCTGTTAACCAGAAGGTTGGAGGTTCGAGCCCACCAGAGGCACCTCAGAAGAAAGGCCTGGTGATCTCCTTCTGAAAAATCAGCTATTGGAATCCCTGCAGAGCACAGTTCTACCCTGACACACATGGGGTCACCATGAGTTGGAATCAACTCCATGGCAAGTGGCTTTGATCACTGCTTTGGTGCTACAGGTGGAGTTTGAGAAGTCACAACAAAGACCGTATGGCTTGTCTATTCAATCTGCTTTGTAAAGGTGTTTATCTTGCAGTAAAATAATACTTTAGTCACAACATGACAGGCAGTTTGTGGGCTTGATCAGTATGGAAAAATTTTCAATGATTAGAGTGTTTCAATAGTCAACCAAATATAATCCTTGAAGAATGCAGCAGTCACTCTTCATACTGTTATTCTTATTTATAATGGTTTTCTTTCTCCCAAAATAACATACATTTTAAGTCTTATAAACAAAAACAATTCTGACCTTACAATTGTATACAAAAGTTTAAACTTTGTGTTCTGGGCTAGTTGCTTTTTAAATAACGAGCTAATTTTATTACTTACATTGCAAAAATTTAATGGCTCATACCCGTTGCTGTTGATTCTGATTCATAGCAACCCTACAGGACAGAGTAGAACTGCCTCATAGGGTTTCCAAGGCTGTGATCTTTATGGACTGCCTCATCTTTCTCCTGTGGAGCAGCTTGTGGGTTCAAACCGCTGACCTTTTGGTTAGCAGCCAAGTGCTTTAACCAACCCATGGCTCCTTCTCTAATGGCCAGAGTGGCCCAATCATTCCCCATTATTTGAAGACCTATGCTGGTGTGTCTGCTACTCTCCCTTTATGGATTGCCATATCAGATGTTCTTCCACTGAGACTCATCTGAAAACCACAGAAACGTAGAACCTGGAAAATAGTAGCCAGGTTTAATTGGGGTGTCTTTTCATCGTAAGGAGCCATCGTAAGGAGTGGTGAAAACACTTTGCACTCAGCTGCTAACCAAACAGTTGGTGATTCAAACTCACCTAGTGGTGCCAGGGATGAGAGGCCTGGCAATCTGCCTCCATAAAAATTACAAGCCAAGAAAAGGCTACGGAGCTCAGATCTACTCTTTAACACATGGGGTTGCCATGAGTTAGAATTGACTGGACGGCAGCAGGTTTTGTTTTTCATTGTAGTAGTACACTCCACACAAATTTTCTCTCCCCCTTCTTGACATTAAGGAGCTCTGGTGATGCAGTGGCTAAAGCATTCGGCTGCTAACCAAGAGGCTGGCGGTTCAAACCCACCAGCTGCTCTACGGGAGAGCAATGAGTCTGTCTTCCATGAAGATTTACAGCCTCGGAAATCCTATGGGGCAGTTCTACTGTGTCCTGTATAATCTCTATGAGTCAGAATTGACTCAGTGGCAGTGAGTTTACTTTGGGTTTGGTTCTTGACATTATGAAGAAGACAACCAGGTATTCCAAAAGAGATTAATAACCTATTGAGCCAGCAGCAGGGCAACCCCAGGGACAGGTAACTTCTTGTAATAGTCATGGGAAGCTAAAATAGTAATTCTGTACCTTGGTATCAAGAAGGAGCTCTGGTGGGGTAGTGCCTAAGGCATTTGACTGCTAACTAGAAGGCTGATGGTTCAAACCCACCAGCCACTCCTCGGAAGGAGGACTGGGCAATCTACTTCCATAGAGATACCACCTCAGAAGCCCAAGGAGGGGTCACTATGAGTCAGAACCAACTCAATGGCAGTGAGTTTGGCTTTTTGATTCTTTTTGGTAACAAGATGGAAGAATGAAATGGAAACCTCCATTATCAAACTACCCAAAAACTCTAGAGCCCACAACTCAAGGATTCAAATGATTAGAAAGCAATAATCTAATATATTCTAGAGAAAAGTCTATGGTGGTACTGAGTCAAAATTGATAATGGTTAAGGTTAAGGAAAGGGCATCAAATTGTGACTTAGCACCTTTCAAAATTTGCTGTATGTGAAACATATTTAATATATTAATTAATAATGTTTAACTTCAGTTTATATTTGTGTACTTGATGACATAAGCAGTCTTTGTTGTAATCTGGATATCAGATGAAAATGGTGCCATTTGGTTTGAATGATGGGTCAATTAATGATGCTTCATGGGGGAGGTGGTGGTGGTTCAGTGGTAGGATTCTTGCCTTCCATGCAGGAGACCCAAGTTCGATTCCTGGCCAATGCACCTTATGAACAGCCACCACCTGTCTGTCAGCGGAGGCTTCCATGTTGCTATGATACTGAACAGGTTTCAGCAGAGCTTCTAGACTAAGATAGACTAGGATGAAAGGTCTGGCAATCTACCTCCAAAAAGCAGTCAGTGAGGACCCTGTGGATCACAGCTGTCTGATCTGCAACCAATTATAGGGATGGCCTAGGACTGGACAGTGTTCTGTTTCATTGTACATGGGGTCATTTCAATGGCTGCTAACAACAATAACAACAAGAATGGCCTACCAGGTAGTGAGGTCCCCTAGCACACTTCAGACCAACAGCATCAGCATCCTCCGGGAGCTTGTTAGAAAATACAAATTCTTAGGCTAACATTAAACCTGCTCTTCCAGAGCTTCTGGGGTGGCTTGTAGGAACTGCTGTTTTAATAAACTCTACTTGATTCTCATGAATGCTACCATTTAAGCATATTGAAACATGAAGTGAAGTGTCCACATTTCTCTACATGCTAGTAACATATTTAATTATCTTGACGGTGACAATATAAAGAACAGATATTCAACAAATAATTTTTCGATTCTGTTCAATGTTTACACATGGTATATACCCACTTCATATTGCAATCAGAAAACATGCTTCTGCTACAGGCTGGGAAGTATTATGTTAAGAGCAGCATACAAAATTACTTACGTGACCTAAAAGTCAAGGAAATCTTTGTTTCCTTGTTGATGTCTAGATAATATAACAGACACACGCAGCACACGGGGCACCATTAAGAAAAACTAGCTAAATTACATTGTGCTTTGCTACTTTCCCTTCAAAGAAGACCGAAGACATTGGCCAACATGTATATCCATTCTGATCAACTCTCTGAATTTCTCCTTCAAGGCTTGTCTTTTTCCCGAAGTGGTTCAATGGAAGATAGGAGTTGCCGAAACGTGGGACGCTTTTCTGGGAGCTAAAGGAAAGAAAAACCCAATGTGGTAGTTTATGAATGTTATAATTAAAAAAACAAAGTATTTAAAATATTTATACTGCAATCCTAAAGCCAGCAACTTTTTAAATGTGGATGTTTTAAATGTCATAGACGTTTCTATGAAGGGCAGGACCAAGGTGAAGATCGTATTTGTTGAAGGTTATTAGCCAATACAATCAGACAGACATAACAATTACAGCCCCAAGAATTGGAAGAGAAAAAGTAGAAGTATCTTTATTTACATAGGATAGGATTGTATACTTGGAAAAAAAAAAACAGAGAATCAAAAATAGAAGTAACCCAAGCAACAAAGGATCCACGAGGAGAGCAGGATAAAAAATGAACATGCAAAATCAATAGCTTTCAAGTACCTACAATAAGCCAGTCAAAGGTATAATGGAAGAGAAAACCTCATTTTATAATATCAGTAACAACCAAAATAAAATACTTAACAAAAGTACCCCAAAAAAGAAGGAACATTTCAAAACGCTGCTGAAAATACAGATGAACACATGGAAAAACATCACTTATTTGATGTAAAATCAGAGAAATCTTTGTTTCTTACTTTGTTAATATCTAGGTAATATAATCTAGAATTAATAGAATATTCTAGAATATGACAAATCAATAACATAAATTGTCAATTTTCCCAGCTTTAAACAGAAACTAAATACAACTTCTCAAAAACATGAACAAGTTTGTTTCAAGCTAAACAGATGGATTCTCTAGTTCGTAGATTTGAAAATATGCAAAAGTATCTAGAAATACTATAAAGAAAGGTCTAATAATCTACTTCCAAATATGAGTCAATAAAAAGCCCTGTAGATTGGAACTGAATGTTGTCTGAGTGGGATCAAATGCACCAATGACTGTGAAGATGTCACAGGACAGGGCAACATTTATCCTGTTGTACTTGGGATCACCCTGAGTTGGAGCCAACTACGGCAGTAACAGTAACAACGAGAATTAAAATAGCGTGCTGCTAGCATAGAAATAGATCCAAGAATAGAACAGAGAATACAGAAATAAACCCAAATACAGACGGAAATTTAGTATAGTATTAGGGTGGTATCTTAAGGTGATATATTATCTCTAGGGTCTTTTAATAAATGGTGCTGCCACAGTTGGATAGTCATTTAGAACATGACATCTTTGGATCCATACCATATACCACACACCAACACAAAGTCGAACTAGATCAGGGATCTGAAGGTAAAATCGTGTCCCCACACCATGGCCTTCCAGTTGATTCCGACTTACAGCAACCCTATAGGACAGGGTAGAATTGCACCATAGGGTTTCCAAGGCTGTCATCTTGGCAGAGGCAGACTGCCGTATCTTTCTCCTGTGGAGCAGCTGGTGAATTCACACCACCAACCTTTCGGTTAGCAGCCGAGGGCTTAACCACTGCACCACCAGGGCTCCTTAAAGGTGAACTAATGAATCATAAACATAGTAGATGACAAACGGAGGTGAACGAGCTACAGTCTGGGTATGGGAAAGCCTTTCTAACCATGACTCAAAACCCAGAAGCAATGACAGCAAACATTCTCTCACCTCCATTGAAAACAAAACCACCATAACAAAGCCACCATATGCTAAATCAAAAGACAAGTGAAAAATACAGAGGGAAAATATTTGCAACTTATATCGCAGACAATGTATTCATGTTAATTTCTAAAGGGAATTTGGAAACCAAAGGAGGAAAAAGACAAACCCGTGATAGAACATAGGAAAAAGACAGTTCTTAGACATATGAGGGACCTTTAAAAATAGGAAAAGATGCTCAACCGCACTGAGGACAGACGTGCGTGTGAAAGCTGCACCGCAATGCTGTTTCTCATCAGGTTGACTTGACAAGGCACCTGGCTGATGAGGTTATGGAGCACAGGCATTCCCCGCCCCCCTGCCCCCCATTGCTAGTGATGCAACACCTATGGGGAGGAATTCATAGGACACTTTATTATAAGATAGAAAGGGAGACAAGAAACAGACACACTAGGTTTGGGCGAGAAGAAGTTGTGGCAGCGTTGGGAAGTATTCTCTGCGCCACAAGATAGGCAGTCACAGAACTCTCATGCTCCACGGGGTGATTTCAGGCTAAGGAGCCCTGGTAGCGCAACGGTTAAATGTCTGGCTGCTGATTGAAAGGTTGGAGGTTTGCAGGCTTACTGGTTTGATAGAGACTGGTGGATCCCCCAAGACTATGACTCTTAGACAGCCTTCAAGCTGGGAACCGAACTCACCTTCGTTGCTCAACTTTCAGCCAGACCATGTTGTTGTTGTTGTTGTTGTTGTTGTGTGCCGTCCATAGACAGCCCTATAAGGTGAACAATAATTCCAGGGAGGTACCCACTCCTTAGAACAGCCAACCACATGAGATCCAAAGGGCAGCATTTGCCCAGGGATCCAGCTCAGAAGGGAGGAAGGGATGGGAAAGGAGGAGGAAAGGAAATGGTGACCACAGGGAGGACGTGGGAAGAGTGCTGCTACACTGTGGGGACTGCAATCAATGTCACAAAACAAAATGCATATGAACTGTTGAATGGAAAGTCAACTTGCTCTGTAAACTTTCCCCCAAGCCACAATGAAAACAATTTTTAAAAAAGAGAGATTGGAGGTTCAAACCCACCCAGCAGTTCTGTGGGAGAAAAGCCTTGGCTATCTGCTCCCATAAAGTTTAGGAAACCCTATGAGGCAGTTTTATCCTGTCACATGGACTCAATGACACCTAACGATTTAAGTCTAAAAGAAAAAAATGTTCGTTACGTGATGCATACAGCAATTCTTCCAAAGCTGGACTCAAGGCACCTCAGTTTATTCCTAGCACCAAGCATAGTGCCTGGGACACAGGTGCTCCGTAAATATACAATCACCACCACCAATACTTGGAGCAGTGTGCCAAGCACTGTTCTAGATACTTAATGTATTAATTCCTTTGATCCACTCAATAATACTATGAGGTAGGTACTATTTTATAGGGCAGCACAGAGACATTAGTGGTCTTGGACAGGTCACACAGCTAGTAATTGATCAAAGCAGGCTTCAATTCAGACAGTTCAGATATGGCTTCACAGTCCATATGCTTAACCATTACACCAAATTGCTTTTCATTAGTGAATGAATGAACGAATGAATCAGCAGGTCTTTTTTTCAAGGCAGTGCTATAAAATGGTTATGAGCTCTGGACTCTTAGATTAATGTTCTTTAAAAGCCTCCTTTTATCACATCACTGCTCAGAAGTCTTCAATGGCTCCCTACTGCCTACACAACAGCAACAACCAAACTCACACCCCTGTCCTTGTCACTCAGCTTGCAGAGTCTGGACCAGACCTACTCTTCCAAACTTATTTCGAGCCCTTCCAACACTAGCTCCTGCCAAGCACATCATGCTTCTTCCTGCCTCCA